ATGTCCATGGTATGTGAGCTGTATGTCTCAAAGACTGGCAGGCCATATCAAACAGCACATCCCTTTGTCTGTTGGCGACATGCAAAGAACTGCTTCCTTTACTTCATCTGGTCATTTAGAGTCAGAGAACCATACAGCACAGGAACCGACCCTTGGTCCAACTTGTCCATGCCAACCAAGTTACCCTTATTAAACTAGTCCCATTTGCCTGCGTTTGGCCCATATCCCTCTAAACCTTTCCTATCATATATCTGGCCAGATGTCTTTTAAATATTGTAACTGTACCTGCACCTACCACTTCCTCTGGCAGTTCATTCTACATACAAACCTCCATCTGTGTGAAAATGTTGTTCCTCAGGTTTCTTTTTAAATCTTTCTCCTCTCACCTGAAAAATATGCCCCCTATTTTCAAACTCCTCTTTCCCTAGGGACAAGACTTTTGCTACTCACCTTATCTATACTCCTCATGATTTTATAAACCTCTATAAAAGGTCACCCCTCAGCCTCCTATGGTCCAGTGAAAAAGTCCCAGCCTATCCAGTCTCACCTTTTAACTCAAATGCTCCAGTCCTGGTACCATCCTTCTAAGGCTTTTCTGCACCCTCTCCAATTTAATAATATCCTTCCTATAGCAGGGTGACCAGAACTGTCCACAGTACTCCAAAAGTGGCCTCACCAACATCCTGTACAACTGTAACATGATGTCTCAACTCTTATACTCAAAGGTCTGAGCAATGAAGGCAAGTGTGCCAAACACCTTCTCTACCACCCTGTCAACCTATTACACCAATTTCAATGAACTATATACCTGAACCCTTAGGTCTCTGTTCAACAACACTCCCCAGAACCCTACCACTAATTGTATAAGTCCTGTCCTTGTTCACCTTTCCAAAATGCAACACTTCACATTTATCTAAATTAAACTCCACCTGCCACTCCTCAGCCATTGCCCCAACTGATCAAGATCCCTTTGTAATCTTATATAACTTTCTTCACAGTCTACTATACCACCAATTTTGGCATCATCTGCAAACTTACTAACCATGCTTGCTATATTCTCATCCAAATTGTTTACTTAAATGACAAACAACAGTGCACCCACCACCAATCCCCGTGGAACACTGCTGGTCACAGGTCTCTAGTCTGAAAAAACAACCCTCTGTCTCCTACCATCAAGCCAATTTTGTATCCAATTGGCAAGTGATATAACTTTACTAACCAGTCTACCATGTGAAACCCTGCCAAAGGCCTTAGTAAAACCCATGTAGACAACATCTGCTGTTCTGCCCTCAACTACCTTTTCGGTCACGTCCTCAAAAAACTCGATCAAGTTTGTGAGATATGATTTCCTATGCACAAAGCCATGTTGAAAATTCCTAACCAGTCCCTGACTCTCCAAATGCATGTGAATCCTGTCTATCAGAATCCCCTCCAACAACTTACCCACCAGTGATGTCAGACTCACTGGTCTAAAGTTCCCAGGCTGCTCCAAGCAGACTTTCTTAAATAATGGCAATAGCCAAGTTCCAGTCTTCCAACACCTCACCCATGGCTGTCAATGATACAAATATCTTAGCAAGAGGCCCAACAATCTCTTCTTTAGCTTCCCACAAAGTTCTACGGAAACACCTGATCAGGTCCCAGAGATTTATCTAACTTTAAGACCTCGAGCACCTCCCCTTCTGTAATATCAACTCTTTTCAAGACATCACTATTTATTTACCCAAGTACCCGAGTTTCCATGTCTTTCTCCACAGTAAATACTGACGCAAAATACTCATTTAATATCTCTTCCATCTCCTGTGGTTCCCCACGTAGATGGCCTTGTTGTTCTTTAAGGCATCCTATTCTGTCCCTAGTTGCTCTTTTGTCCTTAACTTATTTGTAGAATCTCTTTAGATTATCCCTAACCTTATCTGCCAAGGATATCTCATATCCCCTTTTCTGCCTTCTTGGTTTCCCACTTAGGAATGCCCCTACACCACTATACTGTTCAAGCGATACACTTGATGCCAGTTGTGTATACCTGACATATGCCTCCCTCTTGTTCTTGATTAGAACCTCAACATCTTGATTCATCGAGCATTCCCAATGCCTACCAGCCTTACCCTTCACACTAACAGGAACATAATGTCTCTGGACTCTCATGATCTCACTTTTGAAAGCCTCCCACTTGCCAGTCGTCCCATTTCCCGTGACCAGTCTACCCCAACTAAATTTTAAAAGCTCCTGTCTCATACCATTAAAATTGGCCATTTAAGAACTTTAACTTTTAAATATAACTTTTCTATAACTATTCTAAAACTAATAGAATTATGATCATTGGTCCCAAAGTGCACTCCCACTAACACCTCATTCACTTGCTCTGCCTTATTTCCCAAGAGAAGGTCAAGTTTTGCTCTTACTTCAGTAGTACATCCACATATAGTTAAAGAAAACTTTCTTGAACACTTAAATTCCTCCCCATCCAAGCCTTTAACACTGCAGCAGTCTCAGTCTATGTTTGGAAAGTTAAATTCCCCTACTATTACAACCCTATTATTCCTATACATATATGAGATCTCTCTACATATTTGCTTCTCAGTTTCCTGCTGACTATTGGGGAGCCTATAGTACAATCCCATCAAAGTGATCATCCCCTTCTTATTTCTCAGTTCCACACATACAGTTTCACTAGGCAATCCCCCAGGCATACCCTCTCTAATTGTTTTCCACAATCAAAAACACCACTCCATCCTCGTCTCTCGCTATAGGAAGGATAGAAAGGGACACATCTAAACCCCGGAACGTTCAGCTGCCAATCTGGTCCCTCCCTCAGCCATGTTTCTGTAATAGCTATGATATCCCAGTCCCATGTTCCCATACATGCCTGGAGTTCATCCGTCTTACCTGACAGACCTCTTACATTGAAATAAATGCAGTTTAATTCTTCAGAGTTACCCCGTTCTCTGAGGTTTATTGGGACTGGGAGCCAATTTATGTTTTAAAGAATATTTTCTCAAATTTTGTCCCCTCTAGATCTCTGTAGCTCAAATATTGAAGCCCCATTGATAAGACACTCCCACATATTTCTGTTACTAGTCTGTAATCAGCCAGATCCACAAGGAAGTAGTTTGGTTAGCTTGTTGATATTCCTTTTCTTTCTCTGGGAAAGCACTCAGAATCATAGAATTTTACAGCACAGAAATGGTCATATAGTCCATTATGCCAATGTCGACTAAAATGAAACTGTTAGTTACATCATTTCCTTCGCCTTCCTTCTCACCATATCATTTTCAATTTTAAATTTTTCAAAACAGTTATTCAATTCCTTTGTAAAGGTTATAATGATTTGGCTTCAAACATTATTTCTGTTTGGAAATTCTATATCCCAATATTAATTTGTTTAAAAAAATCATAACCTCTACCCATGGTATAGCCTCATCAATCAGCGGAAATAAATTTTCCAGATTTACCTTATTATGCCCTTCCAAATTTTGAACACCTTTATTACAACTTAGCCTTTATTTGTTCTCTTCTGGTGAAAGGGTCATATTTGCTCTAACCTCCTAATAACTAAAGTATCTCAACCCTCCTAACAGCTCAAATAATATGTTTTGTACCATTTTTATGGTGTTGATTATATTTCTAAAATACAGCAATTAAACTGGACGCAATTTTCTATGCTCAATGAAACAAATAATTTGTTAAGAATGGGGATTCTCTTTTCTTTGGGACTCTGTACTTTACTTACAAATCCTTTGATCCTAAAGGTTCTTTCCAAACTAACCAGTGTGTCTTTCAATTTTAAAAAATGTTACGCGAATTATGTCCTTTTAAATTTTTGACTTTTGACCATTTAGTATGTATGATTTTCCTCGTTCCTGCTGAGACTGTCTAGTTAAGTATACATGGTCTTTGCTTTATACTTCACATTGTGAAAATAACAAAGGTGGAATGTATTTTGTAATGCAATTTAATACAGCAGTTTAATCACGTTCTCCTCTAACCTAACCCTTCCATTTTAAGTCATCATTTATCTTTTCTCTTATTTACATTTCTTTTTCTGACTTTTCATCCAATACCTTGTACTCATTATCTCATCTGACCTACTAATGCCCAAAAATTCCAATACTTTTTGAAGCAAGAACTCAACAGAACTCAACCTGGTGAGACCACTGGTTCCTTGTGTTACTTACTCTTCTTGGATTCAGGTTAGTGGTGACATTACTCAAAGGAATAAAATGTAAAGTAAGTCTTTAACTGAGCAAATGAATGCAATGAGAAACATAATATGAGAAAAAGAGCAAGTCAAGCATAAAGCAGCTGGACATGGCAAAGGACATAGGAATCAAGTGATCAGTAGCTAGGAAAATGGAAAGCAAGGCATTGATAGAGAAATAATAACTGAGAAATTACCCCAAAGTTTCAATAAAAAAGGGACTGAAAATGGCAAATGAAGTGTGAAAACAAGTAAATAATGAAAAGATGGAAGTTGAATTTAAAAAGTTATAAACAGTATGATATGGATAGGGAAAAAGAGGACCAGCAGATATAGAAATTCTAGAGATGAATATAACAGGCAGTGAAATCAACTGAAAAAAAAATTCAGTGTTGGGAACAAATTTGCTATTAATAACCTTATTTTATGAAAGTGGTTCAGGTCTAACTTAAGTACGATGGTATTAGAACACAAAAAGTGAAAATGGTTACCAACTGAGGTGTTAAATATTTTTCAGTTGCAAAAAACACTTATGTATATAATTTTTAAAAAATCAAATGCTTACAACAGTGTAAATTAAGCCAGATCCTACACCTAAGTTTTAAGTTACTTCCTTATCAAACTCATTAAGCTGCAGCCAATTTAAAATGCTTTGTATTCTGGTGAAAATGGCACAATTAGAGTAATTTTCATGAACTTATAGAAAAGTAAATTACGTCATCCATAAAATTATTGCAGTTTACTTCATTCACCTTCTCCAAAACATATTTTGTCGTTTAGTTTCTGTTGTAATACATACCCAGTATAAGACATCAGTCCACCCCTCCATGGTGATGCACTGAAATACGGTTAACATAGCAAATGCAAAGTTATCGAAGTTAGTGATTCCATCATTGGGGCCAACCCATCCACTTTTACATAATGTGCCATTTGAACATCGACGACCATGTCCAATATTTAAGCTACAGGGTGCGGGTTCCTCTTCAGCAACTGTATCTGAATATGAAACAAAACAATAGGTTAACAATGTAATAAAACAAAGAACTGCAGATATTGGAAATCTGAAACAAAATCAGAAATTGTTCGAGAATCTCAGGGGGTCTAGCAGCATCTGTGGAGAGGAAACAAAGTCAATGTATCATTTTGGATCCAGTGACCCTTCTTCAGAACTATCAGCAACTAGGAAAAGGTTGCATATGTGCTGATGATGGGTGGAGTTGGGGGTGGGTTTGGGGCAGTGGTGGTGGTGGAAGGAAGGAGTAAGTGAACAGGTGGAGACAGAGCCCAGAGAGAGACAAAGATAGTTAGGCAGACAAAGTGATGGATAATGGTATGCCACGGAGGGAAAACAAATGATTATTGGGGACTTTAAGTAGGTGAAAACGAGTTGGCTGTGATGGAAGCAGCCCATGTCATGACAAGGCCAGGGGTGTGGAGATGGGTAAAGGACATAGAGGAAGATGTTCAGGTTCTAAAATTATTGAACTCAATATTAACCCCTGAAGACTGCAGTGTCCCCTGCAGAAAATGACATGTGGTTCTTCCAGCTTGCACCAAGCCTCGCAAGAGCACTGTGGCAGGCCCAAGACAGAAATATTGGCCAGGGAATACGATGATGTGTTGGGGTGGCAGGAAACTGGAAGCTCAGGGTAATTTTTGTGGACAGAACATAGTATTCCGCAAAGCGGCTACCCAGTCTGTATTTCATCGCCCCAATGTAGAGGAGACCACATTGTGGGCAGTGAATACAGTAAACTAGATTGAGTGAAATGCAGATAAAATGCTGCTTCAGTAGGGAGTTGTGTCAGGACCTTTGGATAGTGACGCGGGAGGGAGTGAATGGGCAGGTGTCACACCTTCTTCAATTGCTTGGGAAGGTGCTGTGGGGTTGACAGGAGGAGTGGACCAGGGTGTCCTGAAGGGAACAGTCCCTGTGGAATGCTGACAAGGGAGGTGAGGGAAGAGGCACGTGTCTGGTGATAGCATCCTGCTGGATGTGGCAGAAATGATGGTTTATAATCTCTTGTATGGGGATACTGGTGAGGTGGCAAATGAGAACCAGGGAACCCTATCAGTGTTGTAGGAGGGAACAGAAGGAGTGAAGGCAGAAGTGTGGGAAATGGGTCGGACATGGCTGAGGGCCCTCTCAACTATGGTTAACAATAATAAATCAACTTTGGGTAGCAAGTTTATTAATATCCAGAGGGAACACTGATAAAATGCCCACTGCACTAATCCAAATCTTACGCAATACAATTTAATTTCAGAGTGGATGACTCTAGTAAAGAGCACTGCAATATTTGTTTCTAGATCCAGATGGATTGGAGACAACTTGTAAAAATTAAAAAGAGAACGTTACATAGTAATCCTAAAATTCTGTTTCTGTAACATCACAATTCATATTCATGAAAGAAATGATACCCTTAGGCAGCATTGTTGTTGAAGTTCGGTGTTCTCAGTACATAATAGGAGCAGGAATATGCTATCTGGCCCCTAGAACCTGCTCTGCCATTCAATAAGATCATGGCTGATCTTTTCCTGGACTCACCTCCACTTACCCACCCGCTCACCATAACCCTTAATACCATTACTGTTCAAAACTCTATCTTTGTCTTAAAAATGTTCAACAAGGTAGCCTCAACTGCTTCACTGGGCAGGGAATTCCACAGACTCACAAACCTTTAAATGAAGAAATTCCTCCTCAAATCAGTCCTAAATCTGCTCCCCCTTATTTTGAGACTATGCTCCCTAGTTCTAGTTTCACCCACTAGTGGAATCAAACCCCCTGCTTCTATCTTATCTATTCCCTTCTTAATTTGATATGTTTCTACAAGAATCACCCCTCATTTTTTTAAATTCTAATGAGTATCGTCCCAATCTACTCAATCGTTCCTCATAAGCCAACCCTCTCAACTCCGGAATCAACTAGTGAACCTTTTCTGTACCTCCTCCAGTACCAGCACATCATTGCTCAAGCAAGGAGACCAAAACTCTACACAGTACTCCAGGTGTGGCCTCACCAGCACTCTATACAGTGCAGCATAATCCCCATGTTTTTAAACTCCATCCCTCTAGCAATGAAGGACAATATTCCATATCCCTTCACCGAGGTCCTTCTGCAAAGCAGCATGCTGCAATTTTTTCACCATTTAAATAATAGTCCTTTTTGTTGTTATTCCTAACTAATTGGATGACCTCAGGTTTACCAACATTGTACTCCAACTGCCAGACCCTTGCCCACTCACTTAACCTAACTATATCCATCTGCAGACTTTCAGTGTCTTCTGCACACTCTGCTCTACCACAGTTCTTAGTGCCGTCAGTGAACATTGACACACTACACTTGGTCCCCAATTCCAAATCATCAATGTAAATTGTAAACAACTGTGGTCCCAACATTGATCCCTGAGGCACACCACTAGCCACTGATCATCAACGAGAAAAACATCCATTTACACCAACTCAGAGATAGTAGGAACTGCCGATGCTGGAGTCTGAGATAACAAGGTGTAGAGCTGGATGAACACAGCAGGCCAGGCAGCATCAGAGGAGCAGGAAAGCTGACGTTTC